TCCTAGCCCCAAATCAATCCCTATTATAGATTCGCTGTGATATGTAGGGGAAGCCAGACATACTTGTGGCAGTGTCTTTAGTGATTATGCTGATGAGGTATGGCTTTCATACAGCAGATAGCAGCATTTCCCAAACGTTAAAGATCACTGTGGTAACCATCTTTTTCCAAATTAAAATCAAGGTACATTTCACTCCTACAGTTGTAAAGATTTATACTGAATTTATAAGCATACTTGCCTTCAGAGGAAACCCCACCTCCGTTTACACTGAATTACTGTTTTAAGTAAAGTGTCTTGTTTGGGGAAAAAAGTGACTGAAGGAGAGATATTATAGATATCTCTGTATGAGTGATATGTATCATTGCTTCTGTACATTGAAATCAAATCATTACTAAGTAAAGTCTTATGTCAAAGTTACCATTCTAGCCCAGAGAGACTGGAATGAAGCAAAGCTGGTGAGGCCACTAGAGATATAGTAGGTAGCCTTCCACGTAGGTTAGATGCATTTTATCTCTCTTGATAAACCAATTATTGGACTTACAGGATTGAGCAACACATTTGTAATTATTTGTGTCTTAGCTTTAATGTTGTCAATCCTGATGAGTAAATGTTTCTTTTTAAAATTGTCACATTTTTTCCTCATTTTTTTGTTAAAATACTGTCCCAAAAAGTTTACCTCTTTATCTAAGAACTTTTTGTGCCACTAAATAGTAAGATAATGCAAGCACAGTGATTTCAGTTATTTCTAATACAGGTAGTCCTTGTTTAGCAACAACAATTGGGACCAGCAACTCTGTTGCTAAGCACTGCAGTTGCTACGTGAAACATCATGTGACCTTGACTTACGATTTTACTTCTGCATTCATGATTAATTCTGCTTGTTGCAAGCCAGTTGCGAAGCACACAAATGGCAATCATGTGACCATGGGATGCTGTGATGGTCATAAATGCACGCTGGTTGTGAAGTGTCCGAATGATGATTATGTGACCATGAGACACTGCAGTGCTTGTAAATGCAAGGATTGGTCAGAAAGTTTGTTTTTTACACAGTTGTAACTTTGAATGGTTGCTAAATGAGCCAGTCAGTAAGCGAGGATTACCTGTTTCAATATTTGTGGAAATTATTCTTCCAGTCAAATTAAGGACATTAACAGAAAGGTTACACTATTATCTGTAAACTGTAGAAGAGATGAAGCATTACACTGTGTATAGGTGGTGTGTTTAGTTGATCTTATTTCCCATTTCAGATGAATATTTTATTTATTTTATCAAACTTATCCCCGCCCATCTCCCCCCAATGGGGGACTCTGGGAGGTTTACAACAGATTAAAACAATAAATATGAGTATTGCAAATAATTTGAATGGAATATGCCAGTCATATAACTATATCAAGAGAGTCACTTGATTTATATCCCTGGCTTAGACAGAGACTGTTATTTTGGAATGGAGATCATCCTATCTTGAAATAAACATTCTTAAAATGTTTCAGAGTTGATAGAATAGTATAGGAAAACAGTAATGTAAGTTTTGAGTTGTTTAGACTTAGACCTGAAATCTGTCTAAGGCATTGTTTCTCAAACTGTGTTCTGAAGACCCCTGGGGATCCCCCAAGAACCTCTCAGGAGTCTGCGAAGTCAAAATTATTTGCCAGCCTATGTTGTAAAATAATACAATATTAAAATCCCATCAAACAATTGTGAGAAGCAATAGTGGCAGCAATTGTGTCAGTTTTAATTTCTAATATGGTAGATATTGATAAATATAAACCCATGCAAACAAAAGCTCTTTTGGGGTCCTCTATAATTTTTAAAAGTTGGAAGGGGTCCTGTGGAAAAAAAGTTTAAGAAACACTGATCTAAGGCATAAAAGCTATAAGAAAAGAGACGAGTAAAGCCATTGATAATTACAATTCCACAAAGTTTTATATATAGTTATCTAATCTCCTAAAAATTTTTAGGAATTCCTCCATGTACTCAACACTTACCATATTTTTCCGACTATAAGATGATACTTTTTTCTAAAATCCTTGCACTAAAAATTGAAGGGCGTCTTATGCAAGGAAGTAAGGCGA